CAGTTGTACCTATTATCAACTTAAAAATTAAATAATTTCATTTATTTAAACATAGCTAAATAGAGCTAAAATTGAAAACAGTAAAAAGTACCTTCGCTTGCCTAATTTCCTATTTATATACATCCTGCCCCATCCTTCACACTCTGAAGGGCAATGGGCCCTTCTTATACTCTCATAAACACTCCTGTTCACCTGTCTTGCTCATCTGCAGCAACAGAAATTATTTCTAAACACTTAATAAGGACAAATGAAGAAATAAATATGATTATTTTGTACAAAATAAAAATGATGCCAAGCTATCAGAGGCTTCTGAGAAGGAGATGGTTATTTCTAGTTTAATGAATGCTACTCTATAGTTCCTTTAACCAACAGAAATAGTTGGTGGAAATTCTGCCATATTGGCTCATCACCAGTTCTTGTCGGAAAATATTGGTACAAAAAAGGGGGTTAAAAAATAAACGCTATTTGAGAAAGAGGCTCCCTCAGTCCATACCTGTCCCAATATTCACGAGGTTGACTAACAGACAAAGCCTACATGGATTTTGATTCCACACAAACTTCTGAAGAAATCTAACAGCTGCTGAAATGAATTTCTTCACCAGATCCCTCTTAAACTTTGCTTTTACTGTCAAAGATACAACTGTTCTCCCTGATACCCTGGCTCAGAGCTGCCCATTGAAGACAAAAACAGCTTTGCCCTAATAATTCTCCCTGCCTTCAGTCTCTATCCTCTGTGGTCCCTAAGAAAATAGAACATGCGACTTTGGTGGAATGATTTGCTTCAGACGGGCAGAATGCCTCTTCCATTACGACAGGAGGGAAGGAGGAAGCCTAGGTGAGCTAATAGGTTTGAGGGCTGGAGGTGAAGGGAGCTGCATTCTTTGTGTGCCTGGAGGCAGGGTCAATTGCTGAGAGGGAGTAAAGTGGTGAAAGGTTTAGCGGTTTGAGGAACGCAGATAATGTCTGAAAGGGTCCATGTAGAGAATGGGACGGAGTATGAGGAAACAGAAGGATTGGTGGGCGATGCTCAGAGCTGTCATGAATTTTCACAGCAACACAGTTGATTGATTTTCCCTAGCAACTCCCAGCCCTGGCACAGGCTGTGAACGAAACAGGCAGCTGATCTTACCCAGGCCTCAGATCCCAACAGAAACTGAAGGGTGACTAAGGGAGCTGAAGATGCTGACTACAGAGTAGCTGAAATGTGAGCTGTTGCATCTAAGCTGAAATTGATAGATTATATGAGAAGTAGAGGTTTGGGGACTAGAAGTTCTGATGAAGTCAAAGAACTGATGTTTTAAGAGTAACTTTTAGGGCAAGTTGCAAAGATGTGGGATTGTGGTTAGAATGAGAGGAGCGAATTCCTCATTTGAGAGGAAGAAAATCCAGGGGGTGTGCTCCCTGAGGTCCCACACACGAGCAGCAGCGTGTTAACTAATGTGATTATGAAGTTCACGAGTTGTCTATTGTGTATTCTTCTTTCTCTCAACTAGACCGCAAATACTTGAAGACAGAAACTTTCTTTCAAACATACCACCTAGATGCTCTGCAGACCTAGGGTCATTCGAATACTTACTGATTGAAGTTGTGACCCCTGAAAAAAACAGTGACTTAAAATCACAAAGACACAGAATCTTACTTGTGAGGATCTCTGGGTCTGGAAAATACCTAACATTTTAACCTGAGGTAGGTGCCTGGAACATCTGTTGCTGGTGCTATTCAGAAACCAAAAACTGTACAGAGTAACAAAATCAAACTACCTCTCAAGGACAGAGTAAGGATCCTATGAGTGGTAGAAGAGGCATACAGGTACTTCCGCAGACACAGCCCCAGCCATACCTCAGCAACTTCAGCTACCAAGAATCTGGACAGTGCTACTTCCCTTTTCATTCAGTATTTTGTGGCCTCCGACATCGTGTTTATGCACACCTTAACTTCTCCCTCAGACAGTCTTAATTGGGTTCAATCAGACAGTATCATGCGGGCCACTGCCCTAGGTTCCAGCAATTTTAGAACTTATGTCAAGGGCATGCAGGTTTCCATGAAAGCCTGGATTGAGTAAATTCCCTGGTTTTTCCCTGAGTATAGCTAATTCTCCGTACTCAAATATTTGTTTCCAATAACAGGTAGACTTAAAAGAGTAAATGGGTGGCACAGTATCTTCTCATGGAGAAAAGATACTCCTAAATCTACTTTTAAAAACCATTCTTTATTAACTGCCCTGGCTCTCTCCCTGGATAACCATTCTACATTCCAAGCAATTTCTCTGCCTAGTCGAATCTGATGTCAGATTGAATGCATTCTCTACAGCTCCAAATCTTTCCCCTTCCTTAGTTTCCTAATCCTTTAAAACAGCTCCACCATTCTCTCAGTCACACAGAGGTCTGCCAAGTACACCATTAGTGGACACTCTAGTCAATTCTATCTTCATATTGTCTAATAGAGCACAGTAAGAATCACTGGTGTGAGCTTGTTAAAAGTGCAGCTGTCCAGTCGCTACACCTGGGAGATTCTGATTCAGTCAGTCTAGACAGAGGCCAGGAATCTGTGTCTGTAACAAGCACTTATAACAGCTACCCACTTTTTTTTTTTTTTTT